ATGAGGAGTTTTAAAAGAGCATCAACTCATTAATGTGGGTTTTTGTGTAAAGATGCACACTGCAAAAATATTGGTAAATTAGCAGTTTTCCCTATTTTGTGATTCATGTTTTTATTCTTACTTATGCTTTTTAAATTGCATTATGGGATCTTGATCTTTCTTCTGATAACTTTTAACCTTGAACAGTTGAAAAAAGTGACTTTTATGAACATTTTTAATAGCTTGAAGTGAAATATCGTCTGAGGTCTGCTTCAGAAACCAGTACATTTGACTTATTTCTCTATTTATTATTTCATACACATTATTTAAACTATTTAATTTTCAATAAAAGTCACTTTGCTAATCTGGAGAACTGAATTTTCGACATCAAGAGTCGACAGAGCAGAGATCAACATCCCATAGTGCAATTCACAACCATAAATAAACGGAAAACACTTGTGAATCGCTAAATACAGAAACAGATGAGCAGCAGATCTGAGGACTCACTGTGTGATTTTAGTGGCCAGCAGGTCTCTTAGGCTTTGTGAATGAACCACGGCCAGTTCTCCACCGCGGCCTGAGCAGTTTCGTCGCGCCTCAGCCCAGCTCACCTCCTCTGACACCAGCAGAAAACAGCGGGATGAGTCCACATGATGAAGAGCATCAGGCGGACACTGCGGCTCCGCTGACGGGACACACAGATACACTCTATTAACAGCATATATTAACCATATTATAACCATAAATAGCATATAATTAATATATTAAATAATATTAAATATTACATATAATAAAAAAACCACTTTCTAATTAAAAACAGAGGGGAAAATGGTTTATTAAATTTGTAAAATAGTATTGAGATTTTATACTTAATATTGACAATTTAATTAATTTTTTAATATTTCAAAACATTATTTCTGTGATGCGAAGCTGAATTTTAAGTATCACTTATACATATAATAACAACAACAACAACAACAACAATTATTATTATTAATATAGTTTAATTAAAAATAATGAACAAATTGTGCTGCTTCATATTTTTGTTTATGCTATGATATAAATAGAAAGCTGTTTGAAATATTAGCAATAATATAATATAATATAATATAATATAATATAATATAATATAATATAATATAACATAATATAATATAATATAATATAATATAATATAATATATTTTGTATTATTTATAACATTATATTACTTTATTTTATATATATTACAGTACAAAAATAGGCAAATTAAAAAATTAAAAAACATAGAGGGTAAAATATTAATTAATTAATACCATTTGTGAAATATTACGGACATTTTTCACTGAATTTTAACCATAACAAGTCTTTATAATATATAATGTTTTAAAATAATCCATTTAGCTTATGCAAAGCTTAATTTTTTTCATTGATAATTCTGAATAATTTATTATTATTATTATTATTACTAAACAAAACTGTGCTGATTCATATTTTTAAGGAAGTCATGATACATAGAAAGGTAAAAACAACAGCATTTATTTCAAATAAATAAAATAAATATTTTTAAGCCTTATAAGCCTTTTAAGATTAAATAAAGTACAGAAAATATAATAAATTGTTATTTATTATATTTAATAATAATTCTACATTTATTTTACAATAAACTCTATAGGCCTAAAATTATGTCAATAAATTATGTTTAAAAATCAGAAATTTGTCAATCATAAAATAAAATAATTAAAATATAATAAAATAAATGATAATTCCAATTAACATTTTACATGATGTAAATCAGCATAAATAATAACAATAATACCATTTAACACTAATGCTTATCTATTTTGTAAAGCATTATACAATTATATTACTTTAAAGTCTCATTATTTTATACTTAATGTTGTCGGGGCTGATCCTTTCAGAGAATCTCACACAACCTGTCCATGTCCGCAGTCAAATTTAATGAGTTTCTTTTGACAAAACGACAAACAATTTCTTTTGCTTTCCCATTTAAAGCCTGTTTACGGCCTGTGAGGAGTCGCATTAGTAATTGTCCGTCAGACCGCATTAAAACAGAGCAGCCCTAAAGCGTTCAGACACATCAGTAAAGCTGTTTTTCTTCTGCCTCGTCCTCGCTCTCTTATCTGCTCTTTCAAAGCAAACAATGGCGGACAGATCTCTGATAAACAAACCCCGTCACGCCACGGGACACTCTTGTGTTAAAGATGAGACGGTTACGCTCTGATAGATGGTGATGAAAAGCGGGATATTTTTAAATTCAGAGCGTATAATAGTGCGGCTGCCCTGACATAAATGTTCATCTTAGGATTGAGTGAATTGGTAAATTTGTGATATGAGAAGCGAAATCTCTGGTGTGCATTATTTCCAATTAATTCAAGGACAGGAGTGGTAAATAGAGCAATTAACAGCTTCAAACATGGCTCAGCCAATCAAAATGAAGCATCTGAACTATCCGTTTTAAACCGTTAACATTATCGTAATTTTTTAAATCGGCCAATCCTTGTCAACCAAAACTACAAAGGCATCATCATACCTCTGGCGACCTCTCTGCCATCCTTACTGATCCTCCAGTCCACGGTCACGCCCACTCCACCCCAGTTGACCAGAGAAAGCTCCGCCTCCAGGCTCTGATTGGCCACGATAAGGTCGGGGCAGTGCAGCTCCAATCGGGGAGGCAGTTCCACGCTTACACTCCCCTGAGCCATGATCTCCTGGTGACCCGCAGAGAGGCTCACATGAGCCTGGTAGCGCCCCGGGACGCCGTACTTGTGCCTGGCTGTGGTGTTGGGCGTGGAGGTGTTGACCCGGGGTGAAAGGTCACCGAAGTCCCATGAGAACGAGGCAGGGGAGACGGAGGAGGCCACGGATAGGACAGCCTCAGAGTGCACAGAAACACGACGGGATGGAAGAGAGGCGGAGAAATTCACCTGTGGGCGGAGCATATGCAAATCACAGCACATGTGACATGTTCTATTTTAACATACAGGTCAATAATGTGAAAATTACTAGCTTTTTTCTAGCTAACTCCACAGAACAGACATTCAAGGTTTTGTAAACACTTATAAAAGTTTAGATTTGGAATGGTTTAATAGCATTTGTATTAGGGGTGTCAAAATTAATCGCTTCTTCGGTGCATCGCGATGCAGACGCGGACAATTCGGTATCGGTTTAGTAATAATCATAACCGGTTTTTACTGATGTCATTTACCTCATATGCGCTCTGTCGCGAGGGAGACGATCGCGAGTATTTACAACGCTTTAACTACTTATAACTCATAAACTGTGCACAATTTCACTGTGTGTGTTTGCTGGCTAAGTCTTTCACTGACATATACAACAATAGCCCCTATTTCACTGAGATCGAGAGAATGAAAGTAGCATAATCCATTTCTCTCTTTCTCTTTCTTTCTCTCTCTCTCTCTCGCTCTGGCTCTCTCTCTTTCTCACACACACACACACAGTGGCCCATTTGACCTGCTGGGGTGGCTTTTCTTCTCCTCTCGGCTGTTTTACAGCATTACATTTGGATACAGAAACGAGCGCGTGTCTGCAGAGTTTTCTCCACCGTGTCTATCATGCATCAGCTGTGAGATCGCCGCTGCCGCCTGCCGCTTATCAGTGTCACTTATCTGAAGACCGCAGCGCGCAAGAGCCAATCGCAACCGTTTTTGTTGAGGGTGTGACCAATCAAAGAGGTGTAAGAGAACTAGACAAGGATCAGAAATTGAGCTGGATGTTTATATTTGTTTATATTATTTGCTTAATGCTTGTTTTGTTTAAAGTTACAGTTTTTATATTTGACTGTTTGTATTAAACGACAAAATTGTATTACAAATAATATATAAATTTAAATATATTCATACATTTTAATACAAGAAATGCTGCTGTGAAGAAAATATAAAACTGTGTATGGAAAGCACCGTCAATGCACCGTGATGCACCGAAATATCGAATTGAACCGAATCGATGGCATGATAATCATAACCCAACCGAACCGAGAGACTAGTGTAGGTTCACACCTCCAATTTGTATACAGTTTATACAAATTAAGCAGTTAAATAAATAGTTTATTCCTTTAAAAGCGGTTAGATTTTGAAGGATATCAGAAAAAAAATCTCCATTTTCTCAGGTTTTCAATTGGAAAAGGAGGGCACACCACCTTAATTCAAATGGTACTATCTTTAAAACTATTCAAGGTATGTATGTCCATTGACACCAAAATCTCCATTTTAAAATTGGGGTCACTGTGACTCATTTTGCTGGATCAGGTCACATATACAGAAGTCTGTTCTGCTTATCAAGGCTGCAGTCCTTTGAACCGAATGAAGTAAAACAATAAAAGAAACAAGATAGGCTGCAAAGCATGGTGTGGCGGCAAAGTTTTTTGAAAATTACGCCAGAATGAGAGTATAGTTCCTATATCTGTCTAGAAAATATATTTTCCTCAGGTGATAGACAGAAAGTTATAAATAAAGTCAGTAAATTATACCGTGACTGATCACATGACTTTAATGTCCTCATGAACTGGAAGCTTTTTTTTTTGCATTGTGATGCCTAGAGAAACGTTAAATATTAAATGAGGAAACAATAGGTGTGGCTTTTTTATCTACTGAGAGCTGATTGGATAGAGTAAAGTAGGTGTTTTTATTCAGAAAGATCTGGAGAAGGGTTAGGGCAGAGTTACTGCAACATTCAATACACTCCACCTCACCATTTCTGTCTGTTGTCAAAACTGACAGCTGGAGGGGCGTGGTTAAGGATGTTAGCCACGCCCAATACTCTGAGAATTTAACTGATAACAAACAGGAAGTGCATTTGCAGATGTCAATGTAATATTACAAAGGCAAACTTCTATTGTCTAAATAACCTGCAGATGAATTGTTCACCACAAAACTAGCGATGTGAGCTGACAGAATCACTATGGGTAGTTTTGATTTCATGTGTACTTTAACAGTGGTCGCATGTTTGGGTACCTGAAATACGTCGCGCGCAACCGTCCAGCGGCACTCCTTCATGACGAGCGGGTCAGAGCAGGCGGCCGAACACTGCGACTCGCTGATGTGATTGGGCTCAGAGTTGGTGCTGCACAGACACTCTCTCTGCTGGCCCAGACCGCCGTACCGCTGGTTCTCATGAAAACACTTGGAGTTGCACTCTTCACGTGAGAACGGACCCGGCGTGGAGGACGAGAAGATGACCAGCTCCACCCCTGCTGTGTGCGCCTCGTCTTGCAGACAGCCTGCGTATGTCAGACCTAACACACACACACACACACACACACACATTAACACATGTTAACACACTGCAAAAAATGATTTAATACTTAGTCCTGTTTCTAGTGGGAAAAAGATGTGTGTTATTACTTTACAACACCCCAAACTTCCCTCTTCACAAATATACACACACACACACACACACAAAAAGAGCGACACCCAAAAAATCTAAAATATAGAACATAATTTATTAAATACAACCTCTACTGCAGCAAACTTCCTTTTTTGTATTGTGGTATTTGCCGCCAGTTTATCAGGAAGTGATGATTTTGTTCTCTTTGACTCACCGAATGGCAAAGCTGCTTTATTTGCAAATGCAAACTGTATATTCCAGTTTTGTGCATGAATCTAACTCACATCTTTGTATGGAAACACAACTATTGGTCACCAGTGTACAGAAAAATCACAGTAAAAGTTGCATTACTTGCCCAAAAATGTAGCATAAATAAAGTGAAAGTATCTGTTGTAAACTTTATTCAAAGTATGAGTAATGTGTAGCCCTTTAAAAAGTACTCAAGAGTAGTAAATGTTATGCTGTGAAAGGTTGATGCGTTTACATGCAATTAGTGCGTGTGTGTGTGAAAACGTAACATTCTGTAGTGCATTTAGTGATTATTTAAGGCCATTTGGAGATTTCAGCCATTATACAGTAAACATCTTCATCTTCTCATCGGTGACATGCAGTTTAACAGATTTTGGACATCTTCTTGGACACTTTGAATGCTTCCAAAAGATTTGCTGCATTTATAAAGTGCTCATGTCTTGAGGTACTTCAGTATGAATTAATTTCCTTTCTATGTGTGATTTGATTGGACGGGGATCCCAGGACTAATTTTTCTACTCAGCCAATCCCCATAGACAAGAAAAAAAAAGTAGTGACTACAGGTTGAAGGAAAACAGTGGAGTAAATACTGATACAGCGCAAAAAATGCACATGGAGAAAGTGAAAGTGAAAGTACAGTTTTATATAGCCACTTGTATATATTTTCTCCTCAATTTCTGTTTAATGCAGAGAAGATATTTTTGAATACATTTCTTAATATAATAATTTTAATAACTCATTCCTAATGACTGATTTCTTTGATCTTTGCCATGATGTAGAAAAGACTCCCTTTTGCAGAATGTACACATGACAAAGTGAAAGTGAAAGTAAAAGTACACATCTTAAAAACTACTTAATAAATTACAATTCCTGACAAAAAACTACTCAGTTACAGTAATTTGAGTATATTTACAGTACTGTTGGTGACTCACCACAAGTGTGCACGCTGACGTTGAGCAGCGGCTGGTTTCTGACCTCGGGTGGTCGGTCGCAGAGCATAGAGTTCGGCCGCTTGACTTTAACCCCCTGCTCCTGGAGCCAGCTCACTAGACGCACCAGCTTACAGTCGCAGAGGAACGGGTTAAAGCTCAGGTCTCTGCGGGACAGAAAACATTATTTTCAAAGGCAGAAAACGAGCAGTGTTGCCAGATTGGGTGGTTTCAAATTTGATTGTGCGGGTAAAAAATGGCTGACAAAATTTGGCCGGTTTGGAACATAAATAGTCATGAAGGCAACTCCTGTGTTGGCTGATGCCTTTGTTTCAAATAGAGCTAATTAGACTCTTAATAGAGCTAATTTCTGATTTAAATGTATGTATAAATTAAACAAAATATGAATGGGCATTTTTGTGCGGGTTTTGGACAGCTTTTGGGCTGGAAAAAGTCAGCTATATCTGGCATCACTGAAAAAAAAAAAATGAGAGACATAGAGTAGGACTAAGAGTCTGACTGACTCTAGTCATGAGGTTTATAGTGAATTTATTACACGGCTGTCTGGAATACTCAATTCTGATTGGTCAGTTGGGAAATTCCAAGGTATGTTATTCCCAGATAACAACCGCTAAATAAGCCAGGTTCATCTGGGACCTGAGATTCACCTCGACCTTAAGTGCATACGTTCACATCCATATATTTACATCGACATTCATATGTATCTGCTCGTCTGTCACGCCGCACTTTTGACGCTATGGTGCCATCTTGTGAATTAATAATTAGTAGGTTAGTCTATGCTTTATTCAGCCAGTTTTGTTTCTGTCAGCTTTGCGTTTTTGACCTTTTGGTGCAATTTTGTGACTGAATAATGCAAATGTTATTTTATGCTTCATTAGCTTAGTCATTTGTTTACAGAATTAATAAACTATTAAGCTCAGAACAGTGTTTTTGTGGGATTTTTTTGTGACTTTGATAAGCGATTTCGTAGAATAAAG